CACATTGCGGGGGACTCCGCAGGAGGTAAACTTGTTCTTCAGATTGTGTCACAAATGCTTCATGCGCAAGAGGGCGTCCCGGCGATTCGTTCCTCCTCCCCCATCTGCGGAGTCTTCCTCAGTTCTCCTTGGGTATCTCTCACCGCCGGCACGGAATTGATGACAGAGTTCGACGGGATCGACTTCATGTCAAAAACCGTCGTTCGGGACTTGGGCGCGCAACTCTTAAGCGAGTTCCCCGAAGCGGACGGCCCATTTGCGGAGCCAGCGAAAGCGCCGGATTCGTGGTTCCGGGGTGTCGATGAAGTGGTGGAACGTGTGTTTATCACAGCAGGAAGATTCGCAATCATGCGGGATGATCATCGGGATATTCAAGTTGAAGTCTTGGAGGGAGAGGTCCACGAAGACATGCTTCTCGATTTTATGACGAAGGAGAAGAAGCTGGTCTCTCTGATTCCGATGCTCATCCACTGGTTGGCAGAAGGCTGCGCTTGAAATGAAGGGGCAGCCCAGAATTCATCTACGCTTATCACGATTGACAATTAGAAAATCAACTTGGAAGTCGGGGCTGGAAATAAGGATGTGCAAGAGCATTGCATTGCCGAGCTCGCGCCGGCGGGGCTGCACCGGTAGGTAGGTAGGATCACACGGCACGGTCTAACCAACACAAGTTTAATTTGAAAGCGCAAGAGCGGTTTCAAATCGGTACCGACACTAGCTGTTTCCGACCTTATGCCAAACCTTAGGTGCCAGAAGAAAAAATCCAAATCCCTACGGATTGCATCCTGTCTTCTATATATTACCAAAGGATTCGACCTATATCTGAGCGAAAATAGGGAAGGAACTAGCGGGAACACGCACACCTTCGGGAGGGTCGGCCAAGTCTCACACGTCGCCTTTGAACTATCTCCTGCTTTCAGAAATGCTTCCACCTTCGATGACCCGACAACTGGAAATTTCTGCTCGCAAGTAGTGCATCTGACCTCAGAGAGGCAACCAAACACTACTTAGATCATGCCCCATCCCGGATCCGTCCACGTCTATGAGGCAAAGCGATTGCGGAGGCCCAAGATATCGCTGAAAGACAGCGAACCCCGCGGAACGCAAAGGGGGTTGTGGATGGCCTATCGAAAGAAAAGCGTTAATAGTGCGCCGCTGGAGTATCTGACGTTGGCAGGACGAGCTGTTGAAGATAATTGCTGTGCTGTTAAAGTGCAAGCTAATCGACACCCGGTCTAACTATGTACCAAACGATAGAGAGGGCACACGGAGTGAACCAACGCTGTGTAGTGGCTAGCCGCAGGGTTTCAAGTCGAGACCTGGATCTGAGAGTTAACCCTGGGTGCAGAACTCGAGGGCCGCGAGTTTGCAGGTATCGGTAGCCTGGTCTGATGCAATAGGTGCCAAGAGATCGAAGGGCGGGCCACCGCCAACATCGTTCTCATGTTGACAGTCCGTAGGGTTTAGAACACTCCGAATAACTTGCTTAGGGCGACTGTCGACATGCTTAGTCTCCTTGTCGGGCCGTCCGATGTGCCTTGTTCTCCTCCTCGGGCGGCACCATATTCCACACAGGTGCGTCCGAATCGTACGACATTAAGAAAGCGAGTGCAAAGTTCATGAGAATTCAACAACAACTTTCAACCCGCATTTTATCACCAAAACAATCCCACAAACAACAAATCAACCATCCCACCCATGCTTCATCCGAGTCGTGATTAGTCCCGCCCTCATCATTGCTGCGCGCGTCGGAGGCGGAGGAGGACAGCAGACCAACCTGCCGGTGGCCGTGATGGAGGCCCACCGCGAAGGGCATGTCGCCGTTGACACCTCTGCGCCCGGGCACTCTGACCTCATTACTGTCACTGTGATCAAGGCCACAGCCCGCTGTGGCGAAAAGGGAGAGTCTTGCGCCGCTCACATGCCCTGCTGCTCCAATAGTGCCTGCTTTTACCCGAGGATCGGCTTCGGCGTACGTATTGATTTGTGATTTTTTTCTGCTTGGACTGATCGAGTAGGTGATTGTAGTATTGCTACTGAGAAGGGGAGACCAGCGGGATCAGAAAGCGGGGCGGACGGATTAGCAGAGCGAGTGAAAATCATTGAATATGTGTGGCAGCGGCAGAATGGTGTAGAGTTGGGAGTTGTGAATTATACCAGTTATCCCAATTGTTGTCATATGGCGAAAAGAAGCGAGTCTGTACACAGAAGTTATAGCCGGACAGAGCGCTTCACTAGACTGTTTTGAGGTAACCTAAGCTATGGCAAGGAAGGGCAAGACGAGTCGACGAGGTGTGAATCGAGGACCAGTTTAATCCTCAGCAAGGCTGAAAGGCAGAATACATGGAGAAGCAGGAAGGTAACGGTCACCTCAGCACGACAGAGAAGGCATTACAAGGGGGTGCCGGCCCGTGAATGCCGGACCGTACCCTGGTTGGTTGGTCGGCCGGCGGAGCCCAATTTTTTTTTTTTTGGTAGGGAAAATTTTGACGTTCACCAGTGTTCAGAATTGTATTCTGAACAATTTCTAACTTGATTACACTGTCTACCATCCACCCACAACAATCTTTGAATGTAATCTTGCCCTGTTTCCACATTTGGTCGGTCATTCAGAGTCCGGATTCAGTGCAACCAACTAAGTAATTACAAGAATTGAAGGGAATCACTGGTATTTGAGGATAAATGGGGTGGCTAGCTATATGGGGTGCACAGAGAATTTTTGCCAGAAGGCTGCTACTCAACGGAACATAAGAACCGAGACTTTGATTGAGCCCAGATAGACAAAACTGCCGATCAAATCAACGGCAGGGCCCGTCCCATCAATAACGTGGTCGCAAAATTGCCTTATATGGAAGTCACATGGTATGACGTGGTTGGTTGGTCGCCAGAAAATCTCAAAATTTCAAAAACCAGTGTATGTTCCACCATTCACAAAAAAGTACCCCCTTGAGGTATTATAAGCCGCTGAGTCCCCAAACAACGTGTACTTAGAAGGAGCCAGGTCGCGGAAGGCAAGAAGTTCAAGCTCAAAGAGGTGGCAAGCAGAACCCCTTGCAGACGTGAGGGCGATGACACAGAGTTGGTGAACATTGAGAGCCGGTGCGAGCTCAAAAATTCGCGCCGGCCTTGCGATGTCGCGATACGCAGGCCGAGTTTCTTTGCCTACGACCACATTGCGCGGTCCGATATGCATGGCAACAGCGATACTTATGCCACACTCTCTGGTCCTGAGCTGGCACTGCCAGCACATCATGATCCGGCTGGTTTCTCCCAACTTGGATCGGAATGCTACCCATTAGACGGTGAGTCCCTGATGAACCGTCCTGTTCTCAGATCATATTGGACGCGGTTCAGGAAAAGAGGGACTCTCCTAGTGATCAATCATCGTGTTGTACCGTCCCCATATGTCGACCCGGACGAGGCTGCTTATTTCTGTGCAAGCGCACCCACAGCTTACCCATGGAGCTGTGCCACCGTTACATTCGCATCCTTCAGCTCCGACTCGCTGTCCTTCTCGTCCGAGCTCCATGGCATACATTACTTCCTGAATGCGCTCCATGCCCTTCTCTGGGTTGCCGTGGAGGGCGTAACAGCACACTATAGGCCCAACACGCACAACCAGGCCCGCCATGTCGTGTTATCATTGCAAGGGTGAATCCCCTGCGGTGGACACAGCACCCACGCGAGATGTCACTGTCTCTGCGTCTCCAGCACCCCATCGTGTACTGTACTCGTACTATCCCGCATTCTCCCCTCCTCCCCAACCATCGCAATTGGCTCCGACTCTGCTGACACGAGGTCACTCCCCCCACGCTCGCCCTCTCCGCGACACACACTGCATGCATCGACACCACCGCAATGTACCATGCAATTGATGCCGGTTCCAATGCCCACACGGCCTTCCACTATATGTACCATTCAAGCCTTCCCCTCACCGACACTCGCCGCCCCCCTCCCCTTTCCCCGCCGCTTCCCCCAAAGGCTCCGTCCCCATCATCTGCCGGCGCGACGTCTGGATCAGCGCAGGGATCGGCGCAGCAACAGCACCTGCCCTCGCATACCTTGCCAGGTCCGCATCCGGAGGAGGCACGCCCGCAGCAGCGCACATGCTTGGCCTCGCGCTGGTGTAGCATGCAGGTCGTCCCCGCCAATGGGGGCAAACAGCTTGCGCTTGTCTCAGGCGGGAATGCGTGAGATCCGTACAGGTATGCCTCGCCATATTCGTATTCGTCGATGTATCGGTATCAGTATGCGCCGCCGATAGGACCAGTGGGAGTGGAAGTGGGGGAATCGCGACGCCGGTGCTGGCTTAGACTGTTGGTGGGTAGAATAGTTGAGGAAGCGGAAGGGGTGGACAACATCGAGAATGTGAAGGAAGGGAGAGGAGGTTCAAATCTGCATAATTAACTTAGGCCTCATATTTTTGGACTTTTTTATTGATGGACACTTGTGTAGCCTTATTAGCTTGGCTTTAGGACGGTCCACGGTATGCATACTGGATGTACTTTATGTATCCTACGTGCTGTTTCATTACTTGGAGCAATATTGGCTGACATCGATTTCAAGTGGTCCTGATTATTGTGTTTCGAAGAATGCACCCAATCTCTTCTCTTCTAAACTCATTCAGAATCAAGAGAAATTGATATCATGCAATTCTCTGCATCCCAAGTGTCCATCCATCAAGAGAACTCCGAGTTTACTAGCTTAACGACGGTATTTAGTAAATCTTAATGGTGAATTTATTCAGAATGAAGGAGCATCAACGTCATTCGCATCTGAGGTATCGATTCCATCCATCGGAGATATCTCTTTGGCGTCAAACTGTGCGAACAGAAACCAAGATGCCCTTTTTATTGTTCTAACAGCATTGAGTAACTCGGAAATGCGCAGGTGATCTTCCGGGACTCGTGTACTCAGCTGCAGATCTCTCCCGCATTCCCAACACTACACGATCCTCTTTCGCGAAACAGAAAAGAAAAAACGACATTGCCCGGTACATAAGTCCCTGGGTGGATTTGAACCACCTACTTCGTACTCTCCCGAACTGTTTATACGGAATTTCCCAAGGTAGGGAACAAGCTACCTTGCTCCACAAGAACTTGGAAGGCCACATGTAGGCGTCAAATATACTAGGCATAAATGGACCGGCGGTTGTACAGGGAGGTCGAGTCTAACATTGACTTTTTTCAACTTTGCGACTGGTGGAGTCGGATATATCATTCAAGGAAGACGAGGTGAGTTGTGTCCACCAAGTGCATGAACGATCTGTTGGTTTCCGGAAATCAGTCGAGCCATCCTGTGGATGAGAAGGTTCCAATTTTGAAGGTTGATTCAACGGCAAGAAAAGAAGAAGAAGTTGGGAGCTAATTCAGACTTTCCACTCGATGTCGGGCCGGCCGGTGAAGTTGACCAACTAGTTCTGACTTTAACCCAATCGATGTTGGATTTTCACAGCTGGAGCGTGAGACATCTTGCCCCACAGGCACTTCCCTTACCTACCTGTGAAATAAATTGCCGCGTCGCATGCAAGTTCGACCACTTTTGAGGTATAGAGGACACGGAAGACAGAATCTAGGGGGCACGGAATCACAGCGAAGAAAAGGAGTATACATGCATCAGTGATTTTCTATTGTAGGAGATTTCGGCGGAACGAGGCGATACGTGTCAGCCCAGCAAGACCACGTACGCGTCTGATGTGGGGAAGGTGTGGCACAACACGCGTTCTGGAGCTGGACTCCTGGAGACGCGATGCGACGCGTTTGATCTTTGATGCTGTGCATCACTATGCTGTGTTCGGACTCGACAACTATTGTCCGAGTCAGTTATTTATTGTAACTCAGCATTATTCGTATGTACATTGTACCATTCCCATTGTTATCTGGGGAGTATAAATACCGGTGCAATAGCGCACCCAATATATATCTTTTTCCCCCTTTACTTTTTCTATAGGTTATGGGCCCCGCCCTTAACTGAATCTACACCAATTTCATTGCTTCTACTCTCACAACTTAAACCAAACTATGTCGACTACCGACAACAACACCGACACCACTCCATCGTCGTTGTTCCGGATCAAACAACTCAACGACACAAACTGGGTGCCGTGGAAGCGCCGCGTCACAGCTATATTTCGCGAGCGCTCTCTCTTGAAGATCATCGAGGGAACCACCGCCAAACCCATCGCCGCGGACCCGAACAACCTAACTACCAATGAGAGGAAGCAGATCGAGTGTTGGGAGGAGTTGGATGGGAAAGCGTAGACGCAGATTGAGCTCACCTTGAGTGACTCGCAGATGGTACACATCGCGGGCGCCAAGACAGCAGCCGAAATGTGGATGCAACTCCGGCAGGTGAAGGAGAGAGGTGGGAAATTGGGGGTTCTATCGCACCGACGCTGTTTGTACCGAAGAATTGCCGATGACGCGACGGATATCACAGAACATGTCACGGAATTGCGCAGGATTCAGGAGGAGCTTGCAATTCTCGGGAGTTTGGTCTCGGATGAGGACTTTTTACTCTTGATTATTAGCTCGCTCCCGGAATCTTGGGACAACTTTACATCCGCGTACCTAGGCGCATCAAGCAACACTCTAACCATCTCGTCACACAAGTTCATCTCACTGGTCTTGGAGGAGAACCGTCGCAGACTTGAAAAAACCGGTGATGGAGGCACCGCAATGTACGGACAGACAAGGAACGGTGATGGAGGAAGGAAAAATGACAGAGTGGAGTGTTACAATTGCCATAAGAAAGGGCACGTCGCCGCCAATTGCTGGTCAAAAGGTGGTGGGAAAGAAGGAAAGGGCCCGCGTCGAGGCAAGAGGACAGAGAAGGCGAATAAGGCAGAGGAAACTGCGAAAGATTTTGTTGAAACTGCGTACCATGCCAAATTCAATTCCTCTTCCCTTTACGATTGGCTTGCGGACTCCGGAACCACTTCCCACATTTGCAATGACCGCAGTGTCTTCATCGAGCTGTGGGAGGCAGACCTAGCCGTCGAAGGTGTTGGAGACGCACCACTGCAGGCTCTGGGATGCGGAACCATTCTGTTAGACTGTCAAGTCAATGGGAAGGTTGTCACTCACAGATTACTCAACGTCCTATTTGCACCAACTTGCGTGCACAACCTTATATCGATTACCCGGCTTGATGACGCTGGAATCACGGCGGAATTCAACCACGGCAAGGTGGAGTTTGTGCGACGCAGCGATGGTCGAGTAATGGCCACGGGGAACAGGACCGGACATCTGTACCCGTTGGCAGCGCGAGCCCAGAAGCAAGTGCAGCCAGGAGCGCGTGAGGGCGCCCATGCCGCCGTGGAGGTGAGCAAACAGACGTGGGATACTTGGCATCGCTGAATGGGACATCTGGCGAAAAGCGGTTTGGAGAAACTCGTACGGGGAAAGCTTGTTGATGGGCTCACCGTCGACGAGAGCTCGCCGCCGTTCAGCCAATGTGAGGCTTACGTCAAAGCCAAGATGACGACGAGGCCATATCCGCAGGAGGCAGAAAATCGACGAGAAAATGCGGGGGAATTAACTCACAGTGATATCTGGGGTCCCGCGCGAGTCGAATCATTAAAGAAGTCCAAATATGCCATCTTGTTCACCGACGATGCTACCCGACATTGCTGCCCTGAATTTTTGAAGCGCCGTGACGAGGCCTTTGAAAAGATCAAGGAATATGTTACTTGGGTGGAACGTCAGTATGGATACACACCAAAAGTCCTTTGAGTGGATAACGCCAAAGAACTCACTAGTGGGGCAGTGAAAGCATGGTTGAAGAGCCGTGGGATCATGCTCCAGAACCCCGCACCACATGCGCATTCGTCGAACGGAGTGGCCGAGAGATTTAATAGGACGATCATCGAGCTTGCCTGTGCGATGTTGATAGCGCGAGAGTTGCCGGCCTTTCTTTGGGAGCTAGCGGTCGAGTACGCGGTGTACATCCGAAACCGTTCGCTGACTCGCGCACTACATGGAAAGACGCCGTTAGAAGCCTGGACGCAGAAAAAACCTAATGTCTCGCACCTTCGGGAGTTCAGATGCGAAGTATGGGTTAAACGCGAGCCAGTGCAAAAACTGTCTAAGCTAGGAGGGGATCACGAGAAGGCAGAGAAATTTATCTTCGTGGGATTCGGAGACCATGCAGACATCATCAAATATTATGATGCAAAGAACCGCACCATTTGCGAGTCAAGAAATGTTGTATGGGCAGCGCCAAGCACCCAACCCTTGGTCAATTTGCAGCTCGAGGGGGAGTTGGGAACGCTGAGCCAAAAATCTCCCACAGAAGCGCCTGCAAAACCCCATTCCGTGACACTCCAGAAGACGGTAGTACCAGATGAGGGGGAGCCACCAGCGCAGATAGGGTCGCATTCACGAGCGCAGACATTGTCGCAACGAACGACGCAGACACAGTCGCAGCACGGCCTGCAGACACCATCGCAGCTACCGAGCATACCCCAGCTGGAAAAATCCCCATCGTTGACTTCACCAATCGAGGAAACCAACAACGCACCAGTTCACCGATCTTCACACTCAACCAAAGACATTGACTACCGCAAGCTGAATAACCCAGCTGCAAGAGTGTCAGAAAGGATCTTGGAAGAAGAGGAGATGGAGAGGGCAGAGTACGCGTTTTTGGGGGAAGCAATTCTCGAGGCCACCGGCGCACCGTGCACTTACAACGAGGCACTCAAGTCGAGTGAGCAGCTAGAGTGGAAGGAGGCGATGAAAGAAGAAATAGAGATGTTGAAAGAGAAAGGGACTTACAAGCTCGTGGAGCTCCCCGCGGATCGCCAAGCCATTGGGAGCAAATGGACCTTTGTCAAGAAGGTCGACGAGCTAGGCTGAGTGTCGAGACACAAAGCCAGACTTGTTGCCCTCGGATGCTCGCAGATTACAGGGATAGATTTCACGGAGACGTTCGCTCCCGTGGTTCGTCTCGAATCAATGTGTGCCGCACTCGCAATTGCCGCCCTAGAAGATCTCGAAATTATCCAGATGGATATCCGGGGTGCATACCTCAATGGCGAGCTCAAGGAGGAAATATATATGCGGCAGCCACCAGGTTTTGAAGACGGAACCGGACGAGTTTGGAAGCTCTTGAAGACGATTTATGGATTAAAGCAGTCGGGATGCGAATGGAATCGCGAGTTCGACTGCAAACTCACCTCCATTCACCTCATCAAGACGGTCGTCGATCACTGTGTATACTTTCATGAACGGGACAGCGAGCGAACTTGGGTGACTGTTTGGGTGGATGACTTGCTCATCTTGTCGACTTCGCGAAAGGAAGCAGAGAGGACAAAGGCGGAGATCAAGGAGTTGTTTGAGACAAAGGATCTTGGCGAGCCGCGTAAGATCATCGGCATCGAAATTGCTCATGACCGCGATGCCCGCACGATCACTCTTTCTCAACGCCACTACATTGAGTTGTTGCTGGCCAAGTATGGACTTACGGACGCCAAGCCGCTCCCAAATGTGACGCTGTGGAAGGTATCAGCGGACGCACCTGACGCACCAGCGGACCTACGCGGGCAGTATCAATCCATGATCGGCGGACTCATGTATGCCGCCATCTGCAGGCGTCCAGACATCGCGTACACCGTGACAATACTCAGCCAATATTCGACGAACCCGGGACCCAAGCACTGGAGCGCGTGCAAGCGCATTTTTCGCTATCTTTCCAGTACACGAAGCTACGGACTCGTCTACGGCAACACTCGGGACGATGGCATTAAATCCGTGGGCTACAGCAACGCGGACTTCGCTGCCAACCCAGATGACAGGAAGTCAATCTCGGGGTACGCGTTTATGCTCGGAGGAGCTGTCTATGCCTGGAGCTCGAAGAAGCAGACCACTGTCGCTACTTCATCTACCGAGGTGGAATACACTGCCCTTGCACACGCGACGCGCTTCGCAATATGGAGCAGATACCTCCTGGATGAGATGAGTTACGCTCAGGAGGATCCCACCGTGATTCACGAGGATAAACAAGCAGCGCTGGCGCTCGCTCGAGACCCTCAATTTCACGCACAGTCGAAACACTTCGACATCCAGAACCATTTCATTCGGGAGAAGATCGAGAATGGGAT